TCCTGTCTCCAAATGCTAATTTAGAACTGGCTTGTTATGTTATTAAGCACTACCAGAGGGACAGGCTCCACAATAGAAGGATCCCTGGGTGTTGTAGCAAGGAACAGCTGGGTTGGTTGAACAAGGCTTGTTGGGAAGGTTACATTCATCAACATCAGCCACACACGCTGGGTTCCCAGCTGGAGCTTCCCACCCACTCTCACAAATGCACTGGTATTTAGGCTGTTAATTAGCAAAAGTCAGTGAGAACACTTAACAACAACAGATTGATAGATAGATAGATAGATACAGGGTAGGCGAGTAGTTACCTGTCCAGCTATGACTCGATCTGCATCAATGCATAAGCCATGTACACACAAGTCACTGCCTGCGTTCCTGCAGTCATCATAACGCATCATACAGAGAGTCCCATGCCATTCTGGAGGACAGCTGCAACTGCATACAAAGAGGAGCATGATCATATGGGGTATGTGTTCTCCTGACTGGGCATCAGGCTAAAACCTGAATGGTCAGATTCCACAAAATGGATCAGAAATGCTTACAGTGCAAAAGCATGACAACCCAAAATGCACTGAAAAAGCAATCCAAGACCTTTTCAAGGGAAATGGCCAAGTGAGTCACTTGATCTCTACCCAGTACAGCATGCTGTTAAGTTATTGAAGACAAGCAGTGACTGAAGGTGGCTGCTGTAAAGGCCTGGCAGAGCATCAGAAACAACTTTTGTTGATGTTCATGGGTTCTAGACTTTAGTCTCTGGATTTTCATTCAAGTGTTAAAAAAAACGTAATTATTTCATTTCAAATTCACTGTCAAGGTGTACAGAGGTAGAATTACAAAAACGTTCTTTGTCCACTGTTTGTAAAGCTAGCTGTGTGTTACAAGCTGAGGACACACTATACTGGACCTCTGCTGTCTAATCTTACATATACACAATACTAATACAAAGTGGGTACCATGAGTGCATCTGGCATCCATACTTTACACTGCTTGATAAATAAACATTACTTTGTTTTCTTATTGAATCCTAATGGCATCAAGATTTCTTTAAAAAATGGAAATCCTTCAGGATGTGGAGGAGAAAGTCTTATGGATCAAAAGATAGATAAGAAAAGACACGAGGAGACATAAGCCAGCATAATGTAAAGCACTCATAGAATTAGTAAGTAAAAAGAGGAAGGCATAAGACTTACGTGAATGATCCAGCAGTGTTGACACAGGTTGCCCCATTCTGACAGCCTTGTGACGTTCCTGAATAGACCTGACATTCATTTACATCTGTTGCACAGTTAGGACCCTAACACACAGACACACAAACACACACAGAGAGAGCAAGAGAAAACATGGATTTATCAAAATATAATGCAGGAAAACAAGGACCCAACGAAAAGGAACACAGTAAAGTCTTATAGTAAAACAGTACTGGGATTAAAAGTTTGAGGTTTCTGGGTATTATTTTATTTAGTAATATCACACCCACGTATTAATCCATCCATTCTCTTCTGCACATCCATATCAGGGTTGCAGACAGACAGCCATTCACCCTTCACATTCACACCTAAGAGCAATTTAGAATAATCACTTAACCTAACCCCACTTACTGCATGTCATTGGAGTGTGCAGGCACGCAGACACAGGGAGAACATGCAAACTTTACACAGAAAGGTCCATCCACACAGTGGACTCGAACCGGGGACTTTTTTTGCTGCGAGGCAACAGTCCTAACCACGACTTTGGTAAATGTCTACAATCCATACATAACAACCTGTAAAAGTTATGAAGAATATGAAGAACAATACTGAACTCACCCCCCAGTTGCCGGGACACATACAGTGATATGAGTTTAATAAGTTGAGACATGTTCCTCCATTCTGACAGGGATTACTGCTGCATGACACCCTCTGCACTGTCTGCAAGGGGAAACAAGGGAAGACATGATATCTAAGGTATGGTAAACAGATTAAGCCATGACCATCAACTTCAATAGAAGTTCTTGACTTTTTCTGACTCACCTGTTCAAGTGTGACCACTTTATTCTCAAGTGTTGAAACCTGAAAAGAAAGAAAAGAGGCAGTGTACATATGTTTGATGACAATGGCTACATTTTTATTATAAGCACTTTACTGAATCAAAATTATTCATGGAACAATAAAAGGAATGAAGTGAACATAAGTAACACAAACAGTAGTAAATAAATTAATGGCAATATTTAAAATGATTTTATTTACCACCAGGAACTATCTTTGTCCTACCTTGGTATCAAGCTGGTTTAGCTTGTTGGTGATATCAGGAGGGACAGCTCCTCCGTGAGATTTAATGTCATCAATGTCATCTTTGTTGGTTTTAATCTGCATTTAGAAAGTCCATAACAGACGGTTCAGTGTTAAAAAGCTTTAAAGAAGGGATCTAAAACATGATTTGATTCTTTTTAGTCATATTTCATTTGTGATCAAATTTATCAGATAAGAATAAAGTAAATGAGGTAAAAAAA